CTGTAAATCTAATGGAACAAGTTTGAACCCCATAATAACACAATTTTCTTCAAGAATGTTTTCATGTATTATTTGTGAGTGTCAACTAGCATGAAACGTATATATAATAAATGTTACTAACTAGCTTTAATAACATGAAAGTTAAAACTACATCTGTCTATCGATGTCAAACAATTATTCATAGTTAAACATAAAATTCATAAAAATCTCTAGTGATATAACTGACTAATAACAATATGAATTTAATCTAATAGAATTCTATCAAAATTGACAGTTGAACAAGAACAAATCAATTTAATAGTTGAATTCATGAGTCAATTGAAGCTAAACCACCATGGAAAATCTGGAAACACTGGATGGTCGTTTCGTCCTAGTATGAGATTTTAGTTGCATCTGAACAATATTGAGTTTAATTTGTTAGATTCTTCACAAGTAATTAAATAATCTAAAGACTATATATGCCGATAACATATAGCAAGGGAATTGATGATATGCATTTTATCTTTTCTTAGGGGCTTATCAGTTGGATTTCTCTAGATCCTAGAGGTAATGTTTATGTCAAGAGTAAAGTCTAGTATTCATTAGGTTGTGCCATAACAGTTTATCCAATTTTATATGATACCCAATAAATTCATCAGTAGATAGAATGTTTATTATTCATAATAATAGTAACTGTAATAATCAACTTATGACTACAGGTTTTGTTTAGGAATCTAGTCAAATAGCTTAGAGACTGATAAAGTTCAGTTCAAAATGCTTATACTTACAAACAATCACAAATCTGAATATTGTTAGACTTTCTCAAAGTCTGAATAAATAAAAAAACACTGAAACAATAACTAGACCTAGAATGAAACAGTAATATTTAGTTAAGAGATAAGGCTGTCAGTAATTAATGTTAGAAAGTATTGATGTTTAGTAAATAAATACTACCATAATATTTACAGACTAATAAGTCCAATATGTTGTGAACTCATTCAACATTGTACAAATCTGTTTACTTTTTTGATTCTGTGCACGAAGAAATAAACATATGAAAATTTGTTGTTGTTGTTGTTATCTTTTTTTAAGGAAACAATATGAATCAGACTATTAACAGAAGGGGTTTGTGGAGATTTTAGAAATTTCACAGATTGAAATCATGAGTCAGTTGAAGCTAGACCACCATTGAAAACCTGGGAGCACTGGACGGCCATTTCGTCCTAGTATGGGACTCCTCAGCATTTCACGGTATTTAACTGTTTATAGAATATTATCGCCTGTGAAAATGAACTTAAATGTTGTTTTCTTCGGTGTAGAAATAATGGGCTTCACAATGAAGAGTTTGAAAAGTCATGTCTAAGTGTACATATGCTTAAGATGTAATCTCTTCAATTATATGTTAAGATTCTGAACATTTAACTATCACGAAAACTTAGGAGTGTAAAACTATGGATGTAAAACTATGATTAGTTTTGTAATGACAAGGGAAGTATCATGATGAAATACTATATCACTTCTTGAGTCGTATCTTACAAGTTTTAAGGGTTTTGAATGATTAACACTTCATTTACCATTACAAATCTTAAGTATAGAAAATATGCAGTAGATCTTCAACGTATAATCAATTAATTTCTATCATGAAATATTAGTTGTGGATTAAATTACTTTAAGATTTGATTATACTAAGAATAGCTAGATTATAAAACAATGTTTATCATTTACTAAAGGTTTATAAACTCTTTGATAAAGAAAATGTTTTTCAATCCCAGCATCATTGTCAGTTACAAGGATGTTATTGTACTCTATATTTTATAACAACATATCAACAATCAACCTGAGGTTGTACAGTTTTTGAATAAACTAATCGTTAGATAAGAAGTAATTTCATTAGTAAACCACCAAGAAAGGGCCAACAGTTGGTTGAGCCAGTTTTCTCAATATTCGACTAAGTGAATTAATACTGTGACACTGCATATTTCATGAAAAATAATTAGTATAAATCAAGTTGCTAAAGGTTCTTATAATAGAAACAAGTCATTTCGATGAATAGTAAAATAAAATAAAAGTAAGATATAACAGTCATATTTGAAATAGTCCCAACAACTAAAATTTGAATAACAGTGGTAATAAAATGATTCGAGTCTTTTGGCGCTTAGTTTATTTAAACTGTTTGTTCAGATTTTGATGAATGTTTACTCAAAACACCATAGAGTTGAGAAATCAATGATATAAAAAAGACTAACAAAAGGTGAAAGACAGAAGTAAATAGCATAAATTACAGGCTCTTTATCTGTTATATTTCAATCAACTGGTTGATTCTGTAAGTTTGAAATAAGTTTTGTTATAAATTCCCTAGTTAGTACATGACTTCCCTTGTGAAAATTAAAACAACATATAAGCAAACAAATTGATTGTCATCAAGCTTTACTCTAATATACATGATTATTATTATTATTATTAATAGGATAGAAAAGTGAGCTCTCTGATTCTGACTTGAAGGTATATTAATGTATCATAATCACCATGAAATTTTTTATGTCTCAATTAGATCCCTGAAATGGTTGTAGTGATATAATAAAAGTGATTACTACTGATCATTCCTAGATTAGAACGTATTAACTACCAAGTGCTCCGTAATTTTAGTGGTTTTCAAGGCAACATTAGTCTATAATGAAAACCTTGAATCTAACAATTTCTAAAAACGTCTTATTTTACCGATGTAATATAGTTCTATCTTTACTAACGAATGACTAGCTTCAAGATGGCTTCTCAAAGTTTTAATGAATAGTTATAATTAGTGATCTATAACCAAAACGAACATTTATTTTAATGAAGTCAATTATAGAAAACTATTCCATAAGTTAATCAAATAACCAAAACTTATATTTAATTCAAATTTTACAACTAACAACACATTACCCATTATATTTAATTCATAGTAATTATTTTCATTTAAAATTTTCAATCCACCGAATTCAGGTCATATTGTAATTGACTGATCACTAGGTGATGCTCAATATCATGTATATCAGGTCCTTTTTAGTACAAATCGAATCCTATCGACCAAGTTGTAATGTGGCCACTAGTCTAAGTAACTCGACATTGTATGCACTATGCTGAGATAAGATGGTGGTTGGAGTTAGTCAACAGGAAACCCTGGACACGCAATTTATTTAAGTCTAATTCATTTCAACCGTTAACAGTGTAATACTTTACTTCATATAATGTCACATTTAGATTGAGAATGTTCATGTCGTTTAACTAAAATTCCAACAACCTATTAGAATCTTAGAAAACTATACTATTCAGTATTGTATGTAATGAAGGATAATTGTAGGTCAATATCCAATAAATTAGTTGAAAAACTTCATACTCTTGAATTCATAACATGTAAACATTGTTAGGAGAACAGTAAACAAGCTAAAACTTAGAATCCAATCCAAGTTTTATGGATTAACTTTGTACAACTCGTCTGTTTGAAAGACTCGGATTAAATATGTATCAATTATTTATTTAGTCGATGGTTTACTGCCTATTAAAAAACATTATTTTTCAATCATTTTTATCAATCATCAATGACCAACATTAAAATTTATGTTAATGAGTACTGAAACTAAACAATTCATTTCAAATTGTAATGATTTTAAATATCTCATTTTCGATATTTTGACCTTATTTGGTATATGTAAATCCTCTCTGTATCGCCTGTGTATCCATTATATCACAAGTTTATTTAAAATAAATGGAATTTAGCTAGCAATGTAATCGATGACGATCGTTTCGTCCCACTTGTAACTCATCATCTGGATGTATCTGAATCCCAGAGTTAATATTCACTCTGGAAAAGCACGGTCGGCGTTTGAAGAGTAAGTCACTGGGTTAAAATCTCAAATCTGGAGTTCAGGTAGATCCAACTGACGAATCTGAAGTAGAATGAAACATATGTTCTCAATTACATTGCTAGCCAGATCTCATTTATTCTATGTGAACAATTCGTATTTTAAGACTAAATTAGTCTGTAAGTTTAATTATTGTTGACAGATTATTTGCAATTGCAAACTTGACACACTTATTTCTTCGGTAGAATAGTTCTGATGAACATGTTTAGCTTGATGGAAAGATTTCTGCTAGCCAGAACTATAAGAACAATTTGAGAATCAACATTTTAAATTTGTCACAAAATTTTCTCATTCTTTAAATCAAGGTAATTTTTCCCATAGGATATGAATAGTATTTTACGGCGGAACAATTTCCTTCACAAATAATCACTTACTGGCATTTCGAAATTTCACAATAGTTGATCAAATGAAAATTTGTTCCGAAATATATTTGAGAGTAATTCAGATTGTAGCTAGTAAGAGATTCCAGAACTAGTGTTTTGTCCTTCTTAGGACTCGTCATTTGAATGTACTTTTGGATTCTAATCACAGCCACAATCCAAAACATACTAGTAACTTGTAACCACAAGACAACATCTAGGGACTCATTAATGCAGTTTATTTATCAACAGTGGTTCAATGAGTTCCATTTCTAAATAGCAACAGTGTAAAAACACAGACCATATGAACAATCATATTTGAAACTGATTTTCGTCATGGTTCGATATTAACTGGTGAGCTATTGAAGAACTCGATAGCCGTCAATTGCATTCTACCTTAAGATAGTTCATTATTGAATCTATCTTCAAACTGAAGTAATCTCCACAAATCAACCAGATATCAAATAATATTCTAGATGCTAGGTGACAGAAGATAGTTAGTATGAAAATCCGTGTGACACTGGTTTCGTCCTGGTCTATACTGATCAGAAAGGTATACCTACATTCTCTAGAAGTCTAATACTTCCTGTGAGATTCAAATCCACTCCACCCTATTCTCCAGTCTAGGATGCTACCAATCAGCTATTTTGATTCCGGTTGACTTGTACGGCTTAGATACTCATAGAGATTGGCTACTACCGAGTGATCAGTCACAGTAACTAAACTTTACATTTGATACTCATAAAATTGTATGACTCACCTCATATTGATCATATTTTTTTTTACTGTGCCGATGAAACCAACGCATGTTTTTACTGTCTTTATATATTATTCCTTTTGATGTCCTCAAATAAAACACAATGAGAGAAGTTGAAAGTAGTGAGTAAGATTAGTTCCCGTTCGAAAAAACCGACACAAATAGAAATGCACATACAGATAGAATCAATGAAAAATTCTATGAATTATCAAACTATTGTCAAGTATCAACTTCAATATGATACCAAAAGAAATGATGTGATTGTTTCTAGAAACCTAACAAAATATCAATTAATGTTTGTTTTTCTATCTTTTCAAGATTCTTTCATGAAATAATTTTTGAATGAAGTCAATTCAGTGTTTAAATCCAAATTCTTCAACACTTAATTATGTGTATACATAAGGCATTTTTACACTTCTTGAATATCAAGAATATAATTTGTAAACTTGATCGAGTTGTGTCCAGTGAATAAATAGTAATACCATTTTTGTTTGAATGAGCTAACCAACTTTTTTCAAATAATTTTATCATTAATATTGTTGTGTTATCTGTGTATAAAGATAATTAATATTATAGACTCAGCATTCTTTTGTAATAGAGATAAATTTCAAGCCATCTCAATTGTATATGAATGGTTGGCATTGTATAAATCATTTACATTGAAGAAACTATTCTCATTGAAATGCACAATGTCATATCGATGTATGTGTATGTATGTATGTGTGTGTGTGTGCGTATACACGTTGGTGTTTGTGTGAGTGACTGAGTGAGTGGGCGGGTTGGTAGTTTGTTTTAAATTGGGTATTCTAATTTAAGGAATTAAAATATAAACAATTCGTTAAAGATTGAAAGTCTCTGTTTATTGTTAATCTTCATACATATAAAACAAAAGTGCACACTACATTCTATATTCATTTATAGTTTTGCACCATTTTCATTTGTGTAGTCATGCAACTCATTATCGTTATCTATTTGTACATGTATGAGTTTTATACCACAACCAACTGACTAACTGACTGACTGCAAACAATTTATCATTGGTTTAAAATTTCTCATTCAAATCGATTTTAACTCTTTTCTTTTTTATTGTAAGACCGAGAACATTCTAATAAGAGCTAGTTTGATTAAACAGATTGTTATCTAATGTTGAAAAAAATGTATTGACTAAATCCAGAGTAATAATTTATATTGGATAAATAATGCTCATTTGGTGATTGGTGAAATATGATAGAGTAATTCAAAAGTAGATGTTTATCAGTTGTTATGTCTACGACTTCGATACTGGATGGTATTGACCTATGCACCACAGAAGCCAATGAAGATTGTAGAAATTTCTTGTTAAAGTTTGCCAACTAGCATAGAAATTAGGTCGAACAGAACTACCTACCGATTACTTTGAATTACAAATACTTTCAAGACTTATTAGCGGTTACATTCATTTGTATATGAAAAATGTATCAATCAGATGTGATCTTATTATTCTACACTGGTGCTATGGTTTTATATTACTGTTCTTTTTTTCGCGAAACCATCAGTCAGTACGTGGATTTATTGAAGAAACTAAACTATTCATTAAGATATCGGAATTCACATAATAATAGACAAAATTATTGACTTTCTTGTAAATTTTTCAGAGGCATTTACTTCTTTGACTACTTAGGAAATTAATATTTAGAATTTACAGTCCACACAATTCATTACCATAGAGTTATCTATTCAGATTTTAACAATTGTCAATTCACAGCTATCCACTATCGCCTCTATTTTATTTTTTATATCCATTCACATTTCAGATATTGATGATATTATAAGGTCACTAATAGCCTATGTTTTTGTTATGTTTATTTCTAATATGAGCTCTTCAGTGACCTATTTTTCTCACTGGTTTATCAGTTAAAGTTAGTCAGTTCAAGAAAAGACTTATCTGCAAGTTAATCAATTGCCTTGTTGTCCCTATTTGTTATTTTTATGAATGCTAAACCCATATATAATTATTAATAGTATTCTAGTGTAAGTGTTGTGTAGGAATGAGCTTAGGAAAGGCTAAACTGTCAGAACTATCCTGCTTGGAATCAGTGTTAATATTTTTATTGTATGATTATCAAGTACTTTTTATATTTCTCTAAATATTACCATTTGCTTGACTTATAAACTGTCGTTATATGTCTCACCTTCTTGGAATCATACTCAATTCTGATTGGGATCATGAATCAATCAATGTTCGACCTGAAAACCTGGAAGCACTGGACGGCTGTTTTATCCGAGTTTGGGACTCCTCAAAAGTGCGCACCTACGACTCCGTGCCAGGATTCGAGCCTAGGACCTCCGGTCTCGCGCACGAACGCTTAACTTCTAGACTAAATTGGTTACGGACTTATACTAGGTTTTTATTCACTTATATTTGTGTTGCTATGTGATTAAGTAACTGATCTATGCAGTTTCATGAGTGTTTGACTTATGGGGACAATAGATAAACAATAGAAAGTTACTGTGTTTGTCACTTCAATTTTCTGTTTGGACACTGGGTTAAAATGAGTTTATATGCAGACAAAGGTTACGATTCTTCTATTATTCATAGCCACTGAGCTATTAGTTGACAGAAGGTCAATAAACCTACAGCGGACCAAATAATTCAACAACTCCTATGATTAGACGGTTCGATCACACGAACTGAATGTGACATAATAACTCATTGTTTTTGCAAACAATAACAATTTGGGTTTTTGTCAAACTAAATTTAAGACAATGTATCAGTTTACACTGATAGATTACTGAGTAGTAACCTATGGCATATTTGTCTAGTCCTTTGGTATTGATCGAGTCCTCTTAAACAAGTTGCAATATGGACACTAGTCTAAGTGAATCAACATCACGTGGACTATATTGACCTAGGTTCCACGCAGGTTGACGTTCTTCAGTGTGGTACACTTTCAATCTTAGGGGAATTGATGGACCCTTATCAGTTTGCTTAATTTTCATTTATGAGACTTATTTAGTTTTTGACTATGCCTAAAAATAAAGCCTGGATCAGCTAAGTTTTCATAAATAACGGAAGTACTCAACTTATCATTGTTAACTATATAAATGCATAGTGCCAACATTCCCACTGAATATATCTAAGCTAAATTTCAACAATTCTAAATGGATATACACTATCCTCGTTTTGCTTAAATCATAAAAGAGAAATTTTCTAACCAACCATCATTCACTAATCGAAAATTTATAATAATTGAATACTTTTACCATATGCTTGAAATAACCAGGTAGAACTGTCCGATTCAATGTACGATTGAATAATTTGAAAGAATTTAACCATTAATTAGTTATTAGAAATTTGTATTTTTTACTGATTAGAAAAACAAAACAAGAAAGTTCTCTTTACTGACTTTTTACTATTTAACGCTAATAACTTCATTACTTTGAAGGTAAGCAAGAGTTTACAAAAATACCACCTTCCTCTAGTATTTCTATTGGATCACTGAGGGTCAGTCAGTCAGCTGAAATGTAGGACCAGACACATATATGCAACAGTCTAAGTTGCCATACCTCATTAACACAACAAGATGAACACCAAATTCATAGAAGCAGTTACTTCAACGATAATAATATATAAAAGAAAGATTGTGTATAAGCATATAATACAGGAAGAAAGAATTAGCTCGTAGAAAGAAAGGCACACAGCAATTCTAATCTCATGGTTTAAGGGAAGACAGAGAGTGTATACACCTACGCTATTGTGATCGATTCTGAGCTATGTCACCCACAGTCTCCAACCATAGGTTACGATAGTCATACGGACCCCAACCAAGTAGTCTGCATCTATCAACATGGCTCAGACTAGAAGTTAGTCACTTCAAGAACTGATACCACGTTTTGGTTTGGCCACCCTTAACTTTCTTCCAACCATTCCCAACACTAGACAGCATTGCACGTCGTGGTAATCGATGTTCAGGCATATGTAACACGTGGCCCAACCATCTCAGTCGATGAAGATTCGCAACCTCATCAACTGATTTACCATCATTCCCTAATTCCCTGCGTCTAACCCCACCGAGAAATTAAATAGAAATAGAAAATATCAAAAAACATATCCGGTTTACACTCAAGAACACAGTCAGAGGATTCGAGCGGGCGAAGTTTTGCCATTTTATCATTCCCAGTTTCATTGCAATCATAAGTTTGTATATAGTCACAGTTATAATAATAGTACTGTGAAAGCTTCCAGGAGAAATCCCAACAGCCCCAAAGTAAAGGACACGTGTAAAAATTTTATGATGCCATTTAGTCCAGAGTCCCATCTAAATTCAGTTGTTTAGCCTTTATATTTTCCAAACAGATGAATGGATATTGAAGTGTAGTTGGTAAGAACATGAATCACTACCATGAAAGCAATTCTTTGGCTTATCACAATGGTTCATGGGTGCGGAAGCTAACATAACCAGAGTTCTAATCTATCAGGCGTCTGCTGATTTTATATGATTTATCGTGAATAGCGCCTATTTCCACGTATACTGTTAATTTAATGAAGTTATTAACGTTAAGTAGTAAAGGCTCAGTAAAAAAAATACAAATCTCGAAGAATAATAATTTAATAAGAATTGTATCGTGGTCAAATAGTTTCTTTCAGTACACTCAAAATAGCACATTTTCGATGAATAAATTGTTGAAGATAGATCATTTTTTCATGAGAATTTATTCATCATTACTCCAATTCGCATTAACTTATTCAATACACTAAATATACTTCTTTTCAAAACTACTAGGTCAAGTATAGCTTCCTGTCAACCGTAAAATTCTACTTATGGAACACTATAAATTCAGCTACAAAGTTCGTGACGTTACTTTCTCTAATCTGGATGATTTCTAAGTAAATAAAATTGACATGTTTAAAATTATGTTTAAAATGCTGAAACAATCCTTTCTATTGACCTTGTTTGTGATTGGTTGCTTTCATAACCTTTGTTCGACATTCTCATTGATTTTTTTTAGGTTGACCTTTGATTGATTGACCTCATCTACATAAGTTGGTAGACTGAATCTTGGTCGATCTGCTCATTGATTGCAGGTTGATCTAAATGTTGCTTCTAGAAATTCACTGGGATTATAAGTTTCCTTATACCATTTCACTTATACTTTGCAGTAAGCTCTGCAAGACAAAAAGAGGTTTTTCGTTAGAGAATGTAAAATTCATGACTACTGAAATATTTTGATTTGAATCTTCAGATCACAATTATTCCATAAAAAAATCAATGACTATACATACTTTTGTTAATCAGCTGATTAAATCAAAAAAGATCCTTATGGTGATCACGATGCGTCATTTATTGTCAAAAGGATCTTGATGAAATTACCATTAATTTTATTCTTTAAATTATCTATTCATTTAATCCTTTATTTTCACAGTATATTCAAACGAAAAATTTTTTTCATGGAAAATAGATAACTTTATTTGTTTTGACATTTTGAAACTAACGGTACTGGGTCCGAGTCCCAGAGTGAACATCAACACTGATGCAGATATATCCAGATGACGAACCCCGAGTGGAGCGAAACGCGTGTCCTGGATTTTGTCGCTAGCCACTATCCATCTTTGCTTATAATGCTTGTGACTTAAGGCAATATCGAGTTAATACACACAGTATGTACATATACCAATAACAAACTAGTCAATTGCAGTTTTAAACATCAATGGGAAGATTCAAGTAAACAATACCAGGTGAATGTGTACCAAGACGTTTCCTTTATGTTATGTCGAATTCTATCCTGGCTATCATCCAGAAAGAGTGAAAGAACTACATTTAGAACTTGGATATGTTAAGCGTTATTCTTAGCTATTATCTCAATATCATTATTTAATTTGTTAGCAGAAAGACATTGGCACTAGATA